CAGCATTAGATGCTATTTTGGGCCATCTGCATCCTAAATAAAATACCAGGCACATCGAAAGGAACACTCGAGTCACTGCTGAAAAAGATTGAATAGACAACTGGAATTCAAATGCAACCAGATAAATGCATTGCTCATCCATTGACTTGTACCATCCTGCCCCTATTTTCTTTTAATGCTGCGAACCCCCCCCCTCCAAAAAAGTGCCATTATACTTCAACCAATACCACGTAAGGTCCAAAGGATGACCTAAAAAAATCCTGTTCCAAGCTTTTCTATTACGCCACTCCACAATATTCACGTTCTTGCAACTCCTACTATTTCACTCCTTTGACCTCTTTCCAGTGATATCTAAAATATCTAAAAACATGCCCAAAAAAAGAAATAAATCCTGACCTTAATTTCTTGTTTGTTGGCATATACGGAGCACAATGATAGCTGAGATTTGTTCATGTTTTTGGACATGTTAAAATTTTATTAAGTAGAGGAAAACAACATTAAACAGGATTCTTACGTGTGTGGCACATAGAAAAGGACACACTGAGAGGTGACATATTCTTTTCATGGCTTAAACCTTGCAAATGAATGCATTGTAAATTGGTTCTCAACTCAGGGTGCATACGATATATCTAATGGCGTGTGTAAACTTGAATTTAGACATTTTAAAAAAATTGTGAATCTGGGAATATGCAAATTTTTGAAAATTGCAGATATAATTTATTGGTGTGAAAATGAATCCACATTTCTCCTCAGATCTGATGTTGTAACGGGTGCAAGATTATTTTAAATGGTTACAATTTGTACACGCCACACCTCTAAGAAAACACAGGATTGTAAGTATTTCAATGAAAATAAAGTACATGTATATTACTTTTCATCCCCCCAAAAATATTGATTTGAAAATTGGCTGAACAAAAGTTTTTTTGTACCCCTGCCACAATGCCATTATGCTCGACCCAATAGGGTCCAACAGATTGGAAAATACAGTATTTCAATGTACGACACCCCTCAGAAAGCTTAGTACAGTGGACCCCTGCATACTCACTCCAATGCACCCACAGGTTCAGCTATTTGCTGATTTTCCTCCAATATTTATTTATTTAGTCATTTATTTGTTGGTTTTTTTTATAGGGAACCAACCCCTATTTTTCATGTAAAATGCCTATTGGCAGTTTATGAAGATCTTTTGGGGGGTTAAACTATTTCAATGGATTGAAATGAACGTCAGTTATATGTGGATTTTGCTTGCAAATACTGGGGGTCCACCGCATTGTAAATATGTGAAAAGAAATAAGGTACATTTATATTTCATTTTCACCTGACCCCCCCCCCAAAAAAAAAAACAATCATTCCAAATTCGACAAATGCAAGTTTTCGAAACCTGCAAATTTAGGCCAAATTAAAAAAAATGACTGAATTCACATTTTTTTGTGCCCACTCATACAGCCTCACAAAAACAACACTCTAATCAATAGCTCATTATGACTGTTTAAAATATTAAGAGCCCTCACTAAAGCTGTGCTAAAACACTCCAAGTGGAGTCTGTGAAATATGAATTATTTTCCCTGCTTAAATGCAAGCATCCCACCCACCCACCCCAAAAAAAAATCGTGTTATCCCAATCAGACAAAACGTGCATGTTTGGGCTCTAACCCAATTTGACCAAAAGCAAAACGCTACCGCAGAGAATATGTGGCGTGTATAATATAAGGAGGCGTGCGGGTGTGTGGTGTACTTAATAACACTTCTCGGTGACAAAGCGGCTCTTCCCCCCCACTGCGGATATTACCTTTTCTCCGGCAATCTAATAAATAAATCCGTGAAGGATTCAAACGGCGATATTGAAATAGAACATGAACATATTGTACAGTTCTATTTATTACCGTGCGGCGTTGCAGGCGCGAGGCAAGGCAGAAAGGAGGCTGGCGTTCAGGCAGGCTGCTGCTGATTTTTGTTTATTTATTTATTTATGGTGAGGAAAGTGGACGTGATGGCTGCTCTGTTTATTGTCGCGTGTCGTATTAGGATGACGAGTCTTGCTCGGACTGAGTGGCCTACGCGTGTCAACGATCAATCAGGGGGAATGGCTCTTTATCGGACTAAAAATGCATCATACTGTATGTATTTTCCAAATCAAATAAGGAAATGCGTTGTGTTAAAAAGACGTGACAACTTGAAATCGTGATCTTTTTTCCCCGTTTTAAGCAAAACTGAAAGATTGTAAAAAATATGATTTGAGTAACAACGTCTCGTTATAAAAACCGAATACAACGTGAAATACTCTTAAATTTTGGCATTGTTTTTATTATTTAATACGTAATTGATGGCTTTAAAAACGTCTCGTATGCATCACGAAAAACGCAATGGAACAATTAGGTATCGGCTTTTGGCTATAATTTGGAGATTAAATTAGCTATTCCAAATAAATAAAACGTCAAACTACAGTATAGATTAAAAACGAGAGAAACAATGCAAAAAATGTGAACTGGATTTTAAACGTACATGTCGATAAGATGATAAAATGACCGATTAACATGCAAATACATGGTAAAACGAAAGAAAATAACGTGTGAAAATGAAAATAAAAATATTGTACTTTTTTTTATTTGTACATCTACAGAACTTAATAGCCAAACATGAAAACTTCTTTATATGTTAAAAATGGTTGTGTGTGTGTGTGTGTGTGTTCAAACATGAACATAAAAAATTATATCCTACAAGAAAGGTCGAGCAAATTTTGAAATGGATATTTTATCTGATGACTCAATTAACAACAAAAAAGCGTCTTTCCACAGTATGTGTAAAAGAGAATTTAAAAAAAACAACGTGTAGCCAAACATGAACAGAAAACGCAATGAAATGGCATCTGTTTATAAACTTGGTCAATTTCTTCAACATATAAAACAGTCTTACAAGTAATGACTTAGTATTTTGCACAAAAAACACGTCACGTGTGACGAAAATCAAATTTGTGCAAACCAAATCGTGCATTTTTGCGCCCCCCACCCGCTCTCAAATCTTCTCTTGCTCGTGTCTTTTAATTGGACGCCATTTTCTGATCAATAGGGCGGCCTACGTCGACAAAATGGAGGAATTAAAAGGAGAGATCATCAGCGAGTCTTTACACGAGTGGAGCCTTTTGCGTTTGTCCCCCCC